GGCGCAGGGGGCCCAGAGACCCAGCTCCGGCTGGGGCCCGCTTGGTGGTCTCCTCCCGGGGGCATCCGTGGTCCAGCAGGCGGTGGCCCTGCGGCTCTGTCCCTGTCCCTGTCCCTGCACGTGTTGGCCCGGCCCAGGCCTGCCCCGAGGGAACCGCGGGCTGTCAGCCGTCCCCTGACAGCCGCTCTGCCACCTGAGCCTCATCCCCAAGCTCCCCTGATTGTCCCGAGGCAGGCCTGGGCTTGTCACTGGGGAGGTGCGCGCCCGCGCCCGGCCCTTGGCGGGGGTGGGTCTGTCCTGTGAGCCCCTGGCTTGCCCACACGAGCCTCAGAAGGCATTAAGGCCGGGCGCCATGCTCAGCCTGTCATCCCAGCCCCTGAGGGGGCTGACGGCGCAGGATCACGGTCTGAAGCCCGCCGTGAGCCGCCAGTGAATCACCCAAACACTGGAAAGGGAGCTGTGGCTCGAGTGGTAGAGCGCCGTCCTTAACAAAACGGGCCTGAGGCAGCCCAAGCCTGGGTTTTGAGCCCCAGGAGTGGCACACAAGGAGGGGGGAAATGGTCCAGGCGGCGTGGAGCAGGAGCGCGGGCGCGGGCCGCGCTGACACAGCCTGCCGCCCGCCCCTGCAGGACAGCAGCCACCCCGAGACCCTGGTGAACCTCGTGGTCCTGTCGCAGCACCTGGGCAAGGCCCCAGAGGTGAGGCCCTCACGGGGGAGGGGAGGGCTGAGTCCCGGGTCCCCCCTTGCTATCTGGGGGGCCTCCACCCCACCCTGCAGGCAGGGGAGTGGCAGGAGAGACCCCTGCCCAGGGACTTGAACTCGGGCCCCTCCCAGGCTTCCCAGGTGCAGCCCTGCCCCGAAGTCCCCACGGGGTCACTGTGTGGGCCCCGGTGCCCCTCCCCCTCCTGGGTGCCAGCAGGGGGGAGGGGCACTGAGGAGACAGGGCTTCACCTGGCCAGGGGCCTGGGGGGGGGTCGTCTCTGAGTCTGGCTGCCCACACCCCCAGGTGACAAACCGCTACCTGTCCCAGCTGAAGGACGGGCACCGGTGGCACCCCTTCATCAAGGAGTATCAGGTCAAGGTGCGTCCCCCTCGGCCTGCGCCTGGCCAGGGGCTGCATGCCGCCAGGCTGCCCATCCCCGCGTCCTGCCCCCCTCCCGGCGGGGCTCGTTACCCCCCACCTCCCCCCCCCTCCCTGTCCCCCTCATGTTGCAGGAGAAGGAGTTTGACCGGCTGGCGCTGCAGTACACCCCTAGTGCCTGAGCACCTGCCCCCACCCCCCCCACGCCAGCAATAAATGTCTGGACTCTGCCGTGTCCCCACCCCGGCTGTCCGTGGTCTCTGGTGACCGGTGGGGGAGGGGCCACTGCCCGGGCTCTGCCCACCTGGTGCCTCGAGCTCAGTGGGGCCAAGACTGGAACCAGGCCGCCCTCTGCCCCTCACATCGAGGGCTGTGGCCACCCTCTGCCCCTCACCCTGCTCCACCCTCGCAGTGTCCCCAAGACCAAAGCCAAGGTGGCCAGGACCTGTGCCTCGGTGGGGCGAGGCTGCCCACCAGAGGGCGGGAGTGGGGTGGAAGGGCCGGCCTGGGCTGGGGGTGCCTGCACTGAGCCCCGTGCCCAGGACAGGTTCTGGGCTGGGTGGCCCTTCGAGGCACCCGCAAAGGCCTGAGGCTCCGGAAGACGCGAGTTCCTGGGGAGCCGGCCAGGGCCTGGCCACAGCCTGCGCGCTGGCCGCCTCCTGTCTCCTGGGAGTAGATGAGACACTTGGCTTTCCAGGCCGTTCATCCGCCCCCAGGGCCCTGCTGAAACTCAACCCCGTTCCTGGTTTCCAGGACCAGAGAGCAAGTGGCCCCCACGCAGGGGCCGGGGCTGGCCCTGGGCGTGAGCCGGGCCTCAGGACCCTTGACCCCTTGTCAGCCGCAGGCCGGGCGCCTGCACCAGCCCTGCACCTGTGCCAGCCTCACCACCGCCAGGAAGAAACTCGAGGCGCAGCCCCAGGGCGCAGCCTCTCCCGATACCCAGGGGTGCCATGGGCGCCAGATGGTGGGGGCGGGGCGCCCCGGGGGTACTTGCTGGGCCAGCCGTGCACACACGCGCGCACGCACACACACGTGCACCCCAGGGTGTGATGAGACCCCTGCCCGCACCGGGGCGCGTCTCCGGAGCAGGGGTGCGGAGGGGGGGAGGAGGGGCGGCCGGGGCCCGGCCCGGGTCAGGTCTGCGGAAGGGCAGCAGGCGGGGGCCTGCGGAGGGTGGCGGGGGACACG